TTCCATTTCTCTCCTCCGACGATCGATCCGACGTTACATTCTAAGGAGATGAAGTTGCGGCATCGATCCGTGTATGTACGCAACGTGTACATTTCGGTTGGTCTTAATTACACTTTCATTCATATATTATACATTATTTTTATATGTATATACCTATGTATAATCCATACAGCCTGCGAAGAAATCAATTTTAATTGACAATTTTCAATTAATAATAAATTCACATAATATCAAATTGAATCTGAATTAATTCGCCGGATCTATTTTTTGACTTTATTTCATTGTTGTTTTACATCAGAAGCTAAGCGGGAATTACATTTTAGAGAGACGAACAAAGTCTCGGACTATCGATGCGGTTTGCGGAAAGCTTTGCAGAGAGAAAGACCAAATTAATCGCCGGAACCGAAAAAAAGGAGAGGAAAAAACCGACCAAATACATTGCTGTGCATCGCGTATCTACATCTGAAGTCTATGAGATTAGCCGTTATATTGCGCATCGTTGCTATCGCTTTTCGATAACAGCGCGTCGTTGGGTATTACTCAACATCAACAATTCAATCCGTATTTCCCCAGGGGGGAAATGCCTGACTGTCCGCGTTGGTGTATACCGCGTGTCTTTTGGGAAATACGTTGGTGTAATCTAGCGTTGCATCCACAGTAACCGTCCCGTGCGGCAGCAACTATTACGGGCTCCAGCTGCGCCGGATAAATCATTTTTGTTATCGTTCAGGCGACAAGATGTCTTCGCAACTATCCCTAACATGCACTTACACGCGTAGACGCCAAGAGGCTTTGTGATAACGATTGGAAGTTTCCGATTTTCGAGACGTTGCACGAAAGTTCCAAGCTTCTTAAAGGCAAAGTAGAAAACTCGACTGCGAGGAGATATAACGTGACACGCGTGCTGGATTTACCGTGCTATATTTTCCGTTATTTTCTCCCGTCGTCTCATAAGCGCGACATTCATCGAGTATATAAATAAAAAATCTATTTAACAGAGAATTTATTTATATACTTCTCGAACTCCCTTCCGCGCGTTCGCAAGCAATTCGATATTCAATTAAGCACGTAATTAAATATTTACGACCAATTAACGTTATCCGTATTTCCACAATCGGACGGATCGATCGAGTGTCTCGCGCGAGTTATTTTTTTTCTACTTAATGTGATAGAGAGAAGCTCCTGTTTCATATCCCGCCACCAGGCGGAATATCGAGAACTTTAGTATATACTGTCTAACGCAGTAATCGATACGACTTTTACACGGGCGGATAGATTGCCTTTCCGAGTAATAATTAGCGTCTGGCTCGAAGTTTATCGTACCGCCGCGAGTGTAATTTCCCCCGAGGATAATGGAACGGCCGCATTGTAAATTTGTGGATACACGTGGATATCCTGAACACATGAAATATCTTCAAACTGAAACCGAAACCCGAATTCTCATGTTCGCGGATGCTAAGAATAATCTTTATCTCTATTACCTAATAATGACTACTTCATTAATATTAAATACAATGCTTCGTGAGATAAAGTGCTTCGAAAAACTTTTCAAATGATTTATTTATTAAAAATATATTATTTATTTACCCTTTTAGCAATACGCAAACTGTGAAATACTTATTCTTCTCTCTTCTTTCTCTTCTTGTATATTATGAAAAAACTTTTGAAAAGATTTTAGGGTGTAAAACATTTGATCGATGTTTCGTGAGTAAATATGTATGTTAAATATTGTATTACGTTATATTATCAAATATAGTAATATACGTATTGTATTATTAAATGTTTTTAATGTATATTTTTAAAATAATTTTTTTTTATTTTTGTATTTTATAGGTTAATCAGAGATAAAAAATCACAAAATTTTAGTTAAAATTACTCAAATTTTGTTGATATTTCCAGCCAAAGAAAAATACTCTGACTTTTTCCGCTTTCCCGAGAAAGAACTGACAGTCCGCCGGAGACCGACGAATTATGAAAACACTCAATGTTTATCAGTCATGTTTTGTTTTTATCTTCCGGGTGCTTTTATGACGAGCGCATGTTTTTGCAAAAGCTTTCATTATGTTCGTGAGATATGCTACAGTGCGAAATAAGAGAAAGAATTACGTATACATATATATGCTCGGGTAGTAAAATTATGGTTATGTAACGCATGCCTAAATAAAGATTAATTAATAAATTAAGGTAAATTAAAAAGGTCAAAAGCTGACGTAACTTAACTTTGTTTATTAAGATCGCACATCTCTCTCAATTCTGTATCACCGCGATGATAGCGGTGGTACAGGATATTTTCCGAGGAAAGGATTTTCCGGCGCGGTTATCCGAAGCTGTTGAAACATTCATTTTTCAAGAAAATCTGCTCCATCAAATTGTCCAAATATGGTATGGTTAAGGGAATATCCGGTAGGTTCTGGGACACCCTGTATACATGCCTTTTACGGCGCGGCGGCGCACTTTTCAGCTTCATCCGGTTTACATAGATACTTCACGTATATCCAGGGCGTGCAAACAGCTTTTAGGAGACCACCCTTGCTGCTTTTATCGGTGTAGCGCGATATTCTATGCTCTGACGAAGCTTTTTTTAAATGGAGTGTAAATCTTGGGCTTCTTACAGCACACGTAGCATGCAAAAACAAATGAAATGACAACATACGAACGGAACGCATTTTCTTTCAATTACGTTTAATGCCTCCGGGATGGAGGTTTCTTTGTCGAGCATGTTAAACTCCATTAAGAAATTTACTAACGAGAAACATTGACTCTGAACTACGATAGACTATATCTGAAAAAATCTGTCGAGTACTTTAATCATTGGTAGAACATTTATAAATATTTTAGTGTCAAAAAATTACTTTTAGGAAATTGATTAGAATATTTTTTTAGTCAAATATAATAAACTGTTAGAAGCAGAAATTATTAATCAGTGAAACATTTAAATATTTAATACTAAATAATGTGTATTATATTATTAATAACATTTAAATAATTAACATTTGATCGTATTTAATATTAAGAAAGCACTCTTGTTAGGGCGAAAGATAAGACATTTTAATATGAAATGGGTTGCAATTAATTAAAAAATTCAGGTTATTATAAGATTAAAAAATTGTGAATGAATAAGAAACTTCCTCGACATTTCCGCTTCGAGGAAAGATCAAGTCCAAATTGGTCAAAGAATTCGGAGATGAAAAGTAGCTCCACTAAGACTTGGAACACCGTATATAAGAGAGAGTTATTAACTCGAGCCCAGGGAGAGTAGCCGTATTCGTTTTGCTGTATGTATTTCGCTAGAGAATTTAATAAGCTGCCTGTCTCCCCCGTCTCTTCCCCCTCCTTCTCCTTTTCTTCTTCTTCTGCTTCTTCTTCTTCATCCCTCGCATCCATCGCGGCGGAATGCATTCGATCCTCGAAACAGCGCTTTTCGCTAACTTATAATCCATGGCGCATAAACGATCTGCTGCAATGTTACTTGCGCTCGTAAAAGAGAACTGTTATAAAAGAGATATTATGAAGCGACGTCTGATATCTTGCGAGCGTATAACAGGTTTTAAAAAACTGTATTCAAAAAACAGTATGACATTCTAGATAATAAATTATATTATACGAAACATTTATTATCTATATTAATAAAATCTCTGTTTTATATTACACACACACACACACCCCACACACACACACACACACACACATGCGGTATCAAAAGATTTTGCATAAGTGTGTCACGTATTTAAACTGGGAAAATTGTTAGAAAATTACAATACTTGTATATAAATATGAAAAGATCAACCCTTTGACGTCACCATTATTAAGCAAACACACATACAGAGCGCACGTATACTTTGTTATTCTATGTAACTGTATAACTTAATATATCCTAGTTATTTTACGCGCTCTTACGCACACAGTTTCTATAAAATTTATGTTTGCGTATATTCATTAAGCCATAATGGTCTCGTTTAAAAGGATTGGAAGGGTCTCGTTTTCTAACGAACGCGTTTGTCCTGTGACACAGCGCTGTTCGTATATTAATTATCTGCTAAAAAGCTATTGTGCAAGAGAAATGCTCTTTCAATACGTATCTCTGGCTATGTCACTACCAAAGTTAATAAATAAATATAAAGCAAAATAGTCTGGTGCAACAAATTACAGAAAAAATATGAGGCGCATGCACTACGAAGAAGAGAAACTTCACCGCTCTACTTCCTGTAATATAAATAATATGTCAGTGATTATATATATATATATATAACAAGATAAATCAGGGCTTTTTGTTTATATGTACATATATATGTATATGTATGTATATATAACAAAAAGTTCTGATTTATCTTGTTTCTAACAAATGCATTTATTCTCCGACACGGCGCGTTGTTCGCTATGCTAATTATTTCGACATTGTTCGCGATCCGAGAATACCACGTTGTGCGCGGAACGTTTGTTAATTGGTCACAGCAGCATTTGATCGGGTTCGACCAAACAGAGCGGTCTGTTTGTATCCGAAACGCAATAACGCACCCACAAGCTCGTATTTCAAAACTATATATATATAATATATATATATATATATATATATATATATATATATATATCTGTAAGATCTCTGTAATATAATCCGTTTACAATCGTTGCGGGATAATTATATTTTATATCGAAATAGCACAATATTTCTCGATATCGCGCAGGACGTTTCAAAGCTGAAAATTCAAAGTGGAAAAATTTAACGTTAGTCAAAATCACATTTATAGCATCCAGGATGAAAATTTGCAAGATTAACGTTAACGTTCTTTTTGCATTCGTGTTCAATTCTGTATCGTCTTACGGCTTATCGATTTATCGGGAACTATTACCGTGCGCGTCCTTTCGTCTTTCGGTATATATATGTATATCGGTTATAACCACGGTTACGGGTAATTAGTGTTAATTGAACGAAGAGTGAGAGAGCCCGGTTCGGCTCGTGGGCTCGAGCGAACGATCGTTTAACGGCCAATTAAATCTCTCAGCAGGTTGCGCCGCTTCTCGACGAAGGGATTGCCGTTATTTGCCGTTGTCTCGCGATTACCAACTATTCCGGGACCAATCCAAGATCAGCGGTCAAATTGGGCGAAGTGGGGTGAGTGTGACCAAAAAGTTACCCGGTTAAGCGAAGTAGTTCTGGATTAACTCTCAAGACGTAACATCGATCTGGCGAAATCACTATCCGAAAGCACATGCTTTAATACATTCGCTCTTTACTTTAACAATAATCTTTTTTGTTGGAAAAATAGTGTCTCTTTTGTTTAACTTCATTTTCCATTTTCATTTTGGCATTTTAATTTAATTTTGACATTTTTATTCTGATGACACTCTTTCGGAAAATTTAGGATTAAGCTCGAGCAGTAATTGGAAAGATTAACATGGCGCGGTCAATCAGTTTAATCACTATATGCGGAAAAAAAATCATGTTACGTCCTGAGAGAATTTAACATTCATATTTTCTTTCAGAAAGTACAAAACGTATGATAAAATATTTGATCTATAGAATAAAGTTTCTATTTTGTTCCGAAAGCATCTATATTTTTGAAATTAAATGTTTACGACCTATAGGTATTTTCTTATTGTTAAATATCGCTATAATTTTCTACTTGCGTTAATCGCGAAACGAATTAGAATTTTGAAGCCCGCGTCAATGCAATAACTTGAAGAAGAAGCATTTCCCATCTTCTTATGTCAAACGTATTTTCGTCGAGGCGTTCGTTTCCAACGAGATTCTCTTTCGCTCGAAGAGCATAAAAGCGCATCTTTTTCCCTTGTCTTCTCACTACCATACGGTTCTGATTTCCTCTGGAAAGAATTGGAGGATTCTTCCGTTTTCATCTCACCCGTGCTAGTTTCGCGCTTAATTCACCAAGTCCACTTTCCGATTTTTCTCGTTTCTCTTTCGCTTCCTCCATTCGCAATACAAAGCGATTTGACCTCACGAAGGATGGAAAGACACATACATAATCCGATTAAAAGTGAATTTCGCCGACAAGAACGAACATGTGTGCGCGCGCGCGCTGTTGTCAAGCGTGAAGTTAAAAGGCTTCAATCTCCAGTCGATGTTCATTCTCCACGCACCTGTTGAGCTCATTAACGAAGCGAATTTACATCTATTCGATAGCCCTGTTTCTTCGCAATAAATTTCCACCCGATAAATTACCACGGAATAATGCGCGGAACGAAAAGTATAACGATAAAAAAAATCTAGTTAAGTTTCAGCGTTAGCTCGAGGCAGTTTCTTTATCTTTCAATTTATATTTGTCGGCAGAGATAAATGGACGGCAATAAATAATTCGGCGTAAGGGAGGCGCGAATACTTCCGAGAGCGCAAAAATCCCACGTCACAGCCCCGGCGCACGGCGCGGCCCTGCGGTGTCGGCTGTTCAGGACCTAATTATCTCGCGATGCGTTAAAACTCTATGAGAGCGCGCATGAAATATCGCGGTAGTATATCGCGACCGCGGCGCGAATATTCGCATTGAAATATGCAGCGCGCATTGACGCGCGAGACGAGTACACTTGTGGGATTCGCGTTTTGATTTAACGGAAATTAGAATTCTAATTTCCGGTACGTTCGTGTCGCTGAGGCCTGCCGTATACCTGGTATCCCAGGTTAATAGCGTGCTTCTCTGTAATTGCTTATTTCTCCAAGAGAAAAAGAGAGAAAGAAAATTAAATTGATTATTAGATATATTATTAAACTTTAACTTTTTTTCCAATTTATTTTTACGTGACCTTTATACGTGACAGTTCTCGTTATTTCTTAACGTTATAATAAAACCGTTGAGGCAATGATATCAACGAAGAAACTGCCGCGGAAAAATCGATTCCAATTTGTCGCCGGTGCCTGCAGTTAAAGTGTCACGTCGGCCGGCAACTTTAGGCGACAGGCACACCCTGTGTCATTTATTCATCGTGTCGAATTATGAGCAGAGTGGAAGCTCATTTTAAGCGCGCCATCGGGGAACGACAGAATCGATGTCGAAATCGAATCCGACGTTTCCACTGAGTCGTGCAAATCAACGTGCAACGGCTGAATTATTCATCGATGAACGGTGCCGTTGCCCTCCTTAAAACGTCATTCGTGCCCTTGTTTCGCCTTTCGTATCCAGATCGATAGATCGATAAAACGCGCGACTACTGATCAGAATAAAGAGATATAACGTGTAGAATATTCCGCCACTCTGACTACCGTGTCGCTTAATATTTATTGTGCACAAAAGGAAAATTTCCCGAACCGCATAGGACGGTGAATATGTTGATTTTCGTACGATTGGATGCAATGTGATCGTGTTTCATCATATATCTCCATTTCTTTAAAAGCTTTTTACAATATTTTATTAAATCATATATATTATTTCAATAATAATATAATAATGTTTAACAATATCACATTTTTATTTTATACGAAAAAACATACGTTTATCGTTCATTGTTATTTTTAGATTTATATTTTTGAACTCTCACAGTACATTTATTTCTTCGAGAATTATTATATTTATTTAGCAATAAAATATACTATATTGGTATTAAATATTATGAAATTTTAATACACTAGATTTTTATGCTAATTTCATCCAATGAAGCATGCAAAAGATCTCACTTGATCTTTCCAGCAACATTTTGATCTTATATCGAAAATACATCAGAAACAGGCCGGATCCGAATGACAATATCTGCGTCGAGTGCTGCTGCTAAATTATTAGATGACCAATCTATATTTAGTGAGACAGGTCCGATAAACAATTCAACACATTGCTCACGAGAGAAATCACGACAAAAGCAACAAAAGGATAACGTTACCTTCCGGCGAGAGATCGATCCAACGACGGAAATCCCTATTTATGGCGACTATTCCTGACACACGTGCGCCGGATATCCCTCGCGAGAATCCTGCGACATGCCATAAAGCACGCTGTAGATCTCTCGATAGATCCAAAATCGATGACTGTCTATCGCATTGCATCGCATAGCAAGAAGAATAGGCGTCTCTTCCCGACGGATCGTTGACAAAGGTAGGGAGGAAGGATTGTAATTGTACTGTGAGGCACAGCAAAGGGAAAAATAAAAATTAAAAAATTAAAAAGGATAAAAATATATATATTAACTATAAGAATAAAATGTAAATTATACTATGTAAATGCTATTTAATTTATTTATAATTGTTTTTTTATGTTCAAGAGGATATAATAAATATATCTTCGTGCATCTTTTTGCATTTTGTACCAGATATAAAACAGTTCTAACTGTATAAGATGCCACAGGAACAATTTTAGATTATTTAATAAATTATTTATTAAATTATCGGTAATTGTATCTGCTGTATTTTCAGAGATATCTTTATTTGTTGAACCTTTCGGGTTCTTTCGCGAAGTAAAAATAACGAAACAGGATGCGCTCGATAGCTCGACACAATTAAAATGCAGCTAAAACACTTAAGCCGATTCCCGTTTGCAGTATCAATAACGCCTCTCGTTCTCTCTCTCTCTCTCTCTCTCTTTCTCTATCTGTCTCTCTCTCTTTCCCTCACTTGTTACAATTGAAAACGCGATTGACTAAGTCACAGTGCCGAAAATGCTCCTCGTTAAAAGCGAGCGAACGTAACGCGAGTACCGAACTCTTTGCATTTAATTCACGCTCGATTACGCGCAATGCGCGTAGAAGAAAAAAGCGATTAAGGGATTTCGCGCTGCATTTTCATATCTTTTCAACCCCCGAGTCTTCCTCTCCAGGTGTTAAACGAGAAACGACATTATCGGTAATTCTGCGATATTACCGCACACTTTAATGGCCGCCGATTTTTTCCCCTTTTTTGATACATATTTGAAAGCGATTTTTTTCTCAGCAAAAATTCAACTAATCGCTACGATCGCATGCGATTTTAAAAATAGTTTAGTTAATCTCGAGCAGAAAGCCACAGCGTGCAGGTTGTCCTCAAATCATTGAATGTTCCTTCAAACTACGGATTCTTTGGCATAATCTTTTCCTTAGCGAAAAAGTCGTGAAAGATAATGCTATCCCCCGCATGAGATCCCCGGATGTCCTATAAATTGGGATCACGGAGATTCAACCGGATATCGTGTGCTATACATGTGGGTATTGTAACTCGCGCGAACATCGGAGTGCCGATCTGAAACGTTAGTCTCCAAGAGAGACTATAAATACGTAGAAGCCTGTGGATTACGCAATACGAATATATATCTTTGTGTTCGTAGATTGTTAATTAATGGACTCGCTTTTATAACGTAAGCCAACGAATAATAGAAACGCAGCTGAAAGTCTAATAGATTACATTTTATTTTAATTATCTCTAATTAATGCCTCTTTTATTGATATTATATTTCACAAGAAAATATTTTCAAAGCTAAAAATAAAAGAGAGAGGATTTATTTCATTTTTGTAGAACGATATACGTTTCGACTATATAAAGTCGACGAGAAGAAATGGCGTAAAGTATCTGAATATTATCAGCCGTATGCAGCCGATTTTCCTTTCCTCGCTTTCTCGTTCACAAACGGCGAGAGGTTCCTGGCTGTTTCGCGATAGTATCGATTTTTCATTTCTTTCGCTACGAACTCGGTAGAGGAATCGCAGCGTTTATTATATAATCGTTATAATGTCGTTTGCGTTAAATACAACCGGGATCAGTATTATTACAATGCATTTGCCGGCGGTTTCTGATCCCCTGCACGTACTTTTGTTAACAGATTATTTAAGCCTGCAGCGAACTGTTCTCTCTTTCGGCGGAAAAATCAATTAGATCCTTCTCCAAAATAATGTGCAAATATGTTATTAAACTGAATTCATAGTTAAGTTAATAATATGCGGTTCTTATATTCGAATTAAAATTCATGTTAAACCGAAGCAATTGTGAAACTTGAAATGTTTCATTATCGCGATATTTATCATCGGTCTCGTCATTTTATCCTGAAAGAGCGGATATGGAAAGCGCGCATTTGAAAAGAACAGCATAAGGAATATTACGCGCATATTTTTCACTTCTGTCAGCTTACGCACTTTTTCTTATTTTCAAAGCCGATTTTACAAAAGCGCTCTCGCTTCGAGCGCAGTTAGCTTCGGACGTGAACGGTC